CTGAATCTTAAAGATTTGATGGCACACTTATCTGCTATAACATCAATACGACTTCCTAGTCACAATCTCATAAAGGTGGTGGGATTAGCTTTAAATGATCTTGGAATTTGCTCTACAACAAAACCAATTGGGAATCTTAAAATTATCAGAAGGAAGCAACAAGCAAATGAGCTGATATAGCTAACAAATTCACACCGTCTCAAGTATGAGTATGTTACTAGAGAACAAAGAGAACCAATGCTTCCAAGCAACCAAAAGTTTAAATGCTTCCAAGTTAAAGAACAAAAGATTCATAAGATTGAGTAGGTTATATATTGTAGCGCACGTGGTTTTGACCCTTTATCCTATGGTGATTTACCATAGGATAACACCACGAAGCGGAACCTAAACCCTCTTTGTGCCACGTGACAGATGCCACGTGTCACATACCATGTGTCCATGCCACGTGTCCATAGGAACCCGAGGTTCAGGGCCTTGGGCCACTGAACGAAGGAACGGTGCCAAACTCCCAAGCATGACACCAAGGAGTGATGGAACCGAACCACGGAGCAACTCCCGAGCATATAGCCCAAGGAGCGAAGGGACAGGAGCCCGGAGCGACTTGGAACAGTCCTAGAGCAACCAGCATCCCAATGCCAGGACCAGCACGCAAAACGGAGCCAAACGGAGTCTGGTGCTATTTCGGCATACCGGTGGCCTAACGTGAGGATATGGGTACTCCACCAGCTAGTATGGAATGGAACTTGGGCTTAGACCCAAGCCGAACGCAGAACAAGGACAGGCACGCAAGCGGGAGCTAGACTATGCCTCAGGTTGGTCAGCCATGCCCGACCTACCCACTATCCCTACTATACATTTGGAACCCCCTACAGTCCCCCCCCCCCTTGAGGAACACACGCTTTGGGCTTTCACCCCAAGCCTCCCTTAGTATCAGGAGTTAGTCTCTGGGACAAGCTCGAAATTTACTAAATATGGAATGTCCCTAGATTGTGAATTTGGACATGGGACGAACACCATTGTGTTCAGACCGATCTCTACATTTTGTAGATATGCCAAATGAGCAAATTTGGACACTTTCCATAAATAGCATTTGGGACCGAAATGAGACTAACACAAAGGGCATGATAGCGAGGGTGTTTGGCAGACACAGTAAGCTATCATCTAGTGAATATTGAGGGACCAAACTCAATATCGCAGGGGTTCCCAACACTAGCAAGTGCAAGTCAACGAATGAGTTTCTCTAACCAGGTCAAGTATGCTTGACTAATAGCACTTAGGAATTCCGTCCTTATGCCCATCTGGTCAAGTGCACACGCGAGGACCAGTTTCTCAACTAGCTTAGGTGGAGACTAATAACGAGTCCAGCAATACCGACCTCCTGCCATCGTGGCAGTAAGGTAAGAGTGTCCGTAAGGACTAGCCGACAAGTAACTTTCGATACCTGAAGTCATATTCGCGACATATATTGACCTAGAGCAAGATTTACAGTTAAGTGTCTTGCTTGGATTGGAGGAAAATTATATAGTAAACAGATTACCATAAGAACTCTATACACTCTAGCACTTTGTTATTGGGGATGACAACAATATAGTAATCCTCCACAACACTGTGATCAGTTTATATGGTTCTATCCAACAGAAATTCTATAACATGGTCTGTTGCAGCACAAATTATCCAAAAACCAGAATATATACCATGCTTTATTTCGTTAAAGTGGGACTTATTCAGTAAAGTGGGACATTAATTAGCATGTGTCCACATGCCATTTCCTAGTACTTAATTAATATTTATTAATATTTCTATCAGTTTTTTAATTTATTTTTTTATATTTCACAATATTATAACACAAAATCATATGAAAAGTTTTTAATTTATAAATTATAAAGTTAAAACTTCAATTTTTTATTGTTGTTATAAAAATGGCATGTGGCCACACACTATAAGTGGGATAATAAAAAGTCCCACTTTAACGAAATAAAGCATTACCATGTACTTAGCCAATTGAAAAAGGGGTGAACTTGATGAATTTGGAGCTTCAAACTTTGGTTGAAGCATGTTTTAAATTTGAAGAGAACACTTTATAGTCACCTATTCTTAAGAAGTTATGAAAACAAGAAATAATAAATGTGTGAAGATTACAAATATTTGGTCAAAGGAAGCAAATGCAACATACTCAAAAACATTACAGTTGAAGGTAGAAGTTAAAAGTGTCAATATCAAGTAGCAGTATCGTCATCATGAATATAAAATTCTCAGTTATAGAATTGATATTGTAAATAGGAAGGTTTACAACATCAAAATCAACCAATTCCCAAATTGCACTTGCATATACTTCTTTCAATGTCAGACTTTTATCAAGTCTTTCATCCCTTGCAAGTATTATATTTTGTATATTGTATGCTTCTTAGGATAGATCCAAATGTTTAATTTTGGATTTGTCTAAATATGAAATGTTCATGATATTGAAAAAGAATTAGATATTGGTATTATATTCGAATTTAATATAAGATAAATAATTTTTTATTTATAAATTACATCTAAAATAACATATAGCATTTTTATAATAGGGATTTTATGTAAAATAAATTTAATATAAATATACATTATAAATTAGAGGTTTCTTACATAAATAATTAGTATAAATACTAAATATTAAATATTAAAATAATAATTTCTTCTGTAAACAAGTTGATAAGGCAAAACATCTATTAAATAGCAACTATTGCTACTAAGATTACAAATCTAAATATTACTAAAATTATTAATTTGATTTAAAATACCTATTTAATAAAAATATTATTACTAAAACCTTAATAAAATATTCTTTAGTGTGCCAGAATATTCACAAAATATTTTGTCGCTCCCTTAGCATTGGCAGATCCCCCTGGGGAGATGGACAATGGAACATAGATTAGTCCTCACGTCCTGCGCCAAAGGCTCCATCCCATCCCTCCTAGACATAAATCTATAGCCGGCACTGAATAATTCGTGTTGCTGCTCCACAGAGATGACCTTGCTGCCAGGACACATGGCACACAACACCCCTAGCTTCCATATCTCGAGGTAGTGGTTGAGCTTGCCAACGGTCCAGTGCTTACCACAGTGCACATCTCGCAGTTGTTCCATGCCTGCCAGTCGAGATCGTTGTCGTGCTCCACACGCGCAAACACCGCTTCAAAAGATTACAGCATCCTCCTTAACTCAAGGCTCATCCGCTACCAGCCATGATCTTCAAAGCTCGAATTCATAACTTTGATTGTGAGACTCCAGAAAGAACATGAACTCAAGCTTCGTGAGAAAAGGTATTGCCAAAGATTATGCCAAATGGTCGACAGGCCAAACCACTTTTGAGCTCACGAGCTCAATGCATACCAGGAGATGCAAGGTCAAAACAGTCAATGTAAAGTCAATAAAAGTCCATAATGTCCTCAAAGCTTATTAGAAAAATACAAAAAAAACTCACTTCTGACCCTGTCAAGGAGTTCAAAACAACTTGTTGCGAATCTTCATACCTGAGCAAGCAATCTTTGCAAGGGCCTCGATGAGTTCCGCTGGATGATCTTCACCATCTCCGCCTTGTATCCATGCCTGGAAAAAGAAAAATCTTGAGACAATAGCAACAGGGATGGTCCAAAATTGAGCTCCACATTCTGTCATTTCCAGAATGTTCTCCTGTGCAATTGTTCTGAGCATGATCGATGAAGCTGCCAAACCTTTGGCTCGTCCAGTCCCAGTATCGTTGCTTAGTTTGGTTTGACAATTTAGTTTGGAAACTAAAAAGAACTAGAGGTCAGGCAGAACAACACAATCGTCAAACCTCCAGTACCATGTTGCTGTGCTTCTTGGGATCGTGCAAAGGTTGAGCACTCACTTGTTGTTCCTTAAAGGTATTGTCCACAGTGCCAGACGCTGCCCGAGCTCCTCTCCTACAAGGACGCCTACTTCCATAGCCCCGACTCCAAGGTCCAGATCTTGCTGGCTCTCAAGTGCTACTTGAAGACGTGGATGAGGCAGATGGTGGCGGTGTTGTTCGAGCAAGACAAAGGTGATGGTATCGCTGCAAGAGCCATCTCGTTTGGGGAGTGTTGAGTATAACATGGTTGCCGTTCAGGAGTGTGGCAACCATGTTATACTTGATCTCTACTGCATCAAGACATAGTTCCAGGATAGCGCTGGCTATAGAGCTTCTTTAGAAAGCTCGTGAGGTTTGATATAAACCATTGAGGAATATATATCCAAAATATGCTTAGATGCTCTAGTTTTGTATAGCAAATAAAAAACTAGTTCACTAGGAGGGACAAAGTAGAGAGAAAATATTTGAGATATTCGTTAGTGTTGAAATTATATGATTTCATCATGACAGTAACATCTTAGAAGAAATATATAGTGTACAGAATTATAGATTTGATCTTTTGGAGGTACTACTCCCTTTTTCCTTCACATAAGAACTAATTGGTTTCTCTTTGCTCTAGATATTTCCTTGAACACAACTCAAAGCAATGTGCCATCCAAATCTGTGATAGCGTGGTTTTTCATTTTTGTCTTGGCAACTTTTTCTAATCACTAGAGCTAATATTACTGTGCCAAAAATATTTCTCATTAATGATCAGAATTAGAAGAAAAGAAAAGAAAAATTTCTGTCAGCAAACACCAATCCATTGAACATTTGCTCCTAAATATTTAAACAAACTCTTGAAGTTATTTAAAGACACTAAACATTCTAAACAAAATTAATCTGGACCGTCAGATAGAAAAATATACTGCTGATAAATATACAAGCATAGAAATATCTGTTTAAAATATCGCTAGATTTTTCAATGCCAATTGTATCCTTGACAAATTTACTCACTCCTAGTTGAATTTGTCAGTATTTAGGATTTGGGAATATTGAGGGACCAGCTCCTCTTTCCACCTCATTGCACGGATGCATAGGCCTCAATCAGCTTTTTATGAAGTCCCAGGCTTTGCTGGGAGCTGTGCATGGAGCCAATGTCAAAAAATTAATGTGAGCACATTCTTGGGGGATTGCTATTGCTTGGTATGATGGCTGTATGCCATGTATTGTAAGAGTGTATATGGAGCGCATCCACGATGAAAACATAGATACTGCATTTACAGATTCCACTATACGAATCTGGATTTATGTCACTACACACCACTTGTCTGGGATCCATGCCACCAGATCTTATTCGAGGAACACCACCATGACCTTGTGTTCACACGCCATTTTCTGATTCCATGTTGTCATCTATGGTGATTGGAAAACCAATTTCGTCGTCTGTTGGGAGAGCAATGTTGGCGTTGTATCGGCAAGTCTTATTACACCTGATGAAGCCGACTTTGCAACAGTAAGTCCCTTGCTCGCAACAATAGTTACAACCACCCAATTGATTACGGAGGCAACAGTAGTACTTCTTGTCGGGATTGCACTCCTCCACACAGGTTGCACCGCCAAATGGGGTAGCAATACTGAGGCAGCAATCCTTCTTACCAACTGCGCATAAAGATTTCATTCAGAACAATGGCCAACATGAAATTATACTTACGTTTGAAAGGCGTGCATACTTTTGCTGCGTTAGAGAGCCCCACAATTACAAGTGCCATTGCAAGCAGCAAGAGAAGGCGGAATGAGGCAGCCATGAGTTGATAACAAAGAGAATGAAGAACAAAGAACGAAGTGCAAAGGTTCTTAAATTCTCACTCGGGAGCCTCTGCAGCCGTTGGATATCTGGTGCAGCAGCCATCAGATCCTGGACCACAAAGAAAAAGATAGATATTCTGTATAAAATAGTTTTGAATCAGACTGGCGAACCTCCATCTTTATCAACCAGTAAATGATTTTTTAACATTTTGTATGTTGGGTGCCACGCATGCCCTGCCTTGTAAAAATTTATACAAAAGAGTGGTCCCAGATTGTCAATCAAACTCAATAGAACACTTAAGCATTGATCTCAATTTGACACTAACCACAGGAATATTCCAAGAATATTCTATGACTGGTAGGATTTATAGATGCAACATCTTGAAGGGTTGGAAGGTTGGTGTAAGGCTCATTCTTTGTTTGTTTCATTAGTATTGAAGCATGTTTTTTTAGGGATGGCAGAAGAGCAGAATATAAATCCTAATGAGGAATATATTGTTAGTGAGGAAGAATCTCTTGATGATATTATTGTGTGGCAAGGTTATTAGATTTTTGAGGTTTAAAGTAACATCAAGGAAGTTAAGGATTCTATCAATCTCATTAAGGATTTCCTACTTCACATAAACCTTTAAGAGTTGAATCAATTTTGTATTCATAATTAGTATTGGTACATTAAACATGTTAAGGATTATGGTATTGTGGAATGAAAGTCATCATTGGATGTTTGTGATAGCAAGGAAGTTGATTCTTGGTTAGAATTGTAAGAAAGTTGTTGCCATAAAGATAAAGTAAAAATTGATTTTTTTGTGATAAAGTTTATAGGCCATGCTTCTTTGTAGTGGAAGAATTACATCAAAGCTAATTTGAAGCCGACTCCTTAGAGTGAGTTGATAAAGGTTTTTCACACTTTTTTGGTCAAAAAGTTTGAAAAGGTTAAAACCAATTACTAGAGATTATATAAGGGATTTTGTTTTTAAATGCATATTACTTGCAAGTTTTGTGATATTTGCTTTAGTCTCACAAGCATCTATAATGAGCTGTTAAAGGTGCAATATTTCATCAAAAGTTTGAGCTCAGTGGATGTGCAATAGAAGGTTAAGAAGGATTTTCTAGCAATGTTAATTGATATTATTATTAAGGCTCAAATCTTTTTGCTAAAACCATCAATCAACTTGGTCAACTCTGATCAACGAGATGGTCTACAGGGTAGTCAACATGATGACTAGCTAGCCAATTCTTCATATTTGGGGAAGAAACAACCGTTGCTATATTCTCGCGAATGTGACTTCGGGTATCGAAAGTTACCTGTCGGCTAGTCCTTACGGACACTCTTACCTTATTGCCACGATGGCAAGAGGTCGGTATTGCTAGACCCGTTATCAGTCTTCGCCTAAGCTAGTTGAGAAACTGGTCATCACATGTGCACTTAGACCGGAAGGGCACTAAGGAAGGAAATCCTAAGTTGTCATTTAGTCAAGCAGACTTGACACGGTGATGAGAAACTCATGATGTTGGCTTGCACTTGCTAGTGTTGGAACCCCCGCGATATTGAGCTTGGTCCCTCAATATCGCTAGATGATAGCTTACTGTGTCCGCCAAACACCCTCGCTATCATGCCCTTTGTGTTAGTCTCATTTCGGTCCCAAATACTATTTATGGAAAGTGTCCAGATTTGCTCATTTGGCATATCTACGGAATGTAGAGATCGGCCTGAACACAATGGTGTTCGTCCCGTGTCCAAATTCATAATCTAAGGACATTCTATATTTAGTAAGTTTCGAGTTTGTCCCAGAGACTAACTCCTGATACTAAGGGAGGCTTGGGGTGAAAGCCCAAAGCGTGTGTTCCTCAAGGGGGGGGGGGGGGCTATGGGGGGTTCCAAATGTATAGTAGGGATAGTGGGTAGGTCGGGCATGGCCGACCAACCTGAGGCATAGTCTAGCTCCCGCTTGCGTGCCTGTCCTTGTTCTGCGTCCGGCTTGGGTCTAAGCCCAAGTTCCATTCCATGCTAGTTGGTGGAGTACCCATATCCTCACGTTAGGCCACCGGTATGCCGAAATAGCGCCAGACTCCGTTTGGCTTCGTTTTGCGTGCTAGTCCTGGCATTGGGATGCTGGTTGCTCCAGGACTGTTCCAAGTCGCTCCGGGCTCCTGTCCCTTCGCTCCTTGGGCTATATGCTCGGGAGTTGCTCCATGGTCCGGTTCCATCACTCCTTGGCGTCACGCTTGGGGGTTTGGCACCGTTCCTTCGTTCAGTGGCCCAAGGCCCTGAACCTCGGGTTCCTATGGACACGTGGCACGGACACGTGGTATGTGACACGTGGCATCTGTCACGTGGCACAAAGAGGGTTTAGGTTCCGCTTCGTGGTGGTATCCTATGGTAAATCGCCATAGGATAAAGGGTCAAAACCATGTGCGCTACATATATCATGGCTCGAAGAGTGGAAATGGCAATGAGGCTAAAAAACTTTATTTGCATCAACAATGAAAGTGTAGCGCACTTTATTTCTCTCCCTTTAAGCCAACTGGAAAAGGGGCAATTGTTTGATGAGAGAGCCTTTAATGGCTATTTTATCGCTATTTATCCCCCAAGGTTCCAAGGATCCATGGTGACAGTATATCCAAATCTCATCCCATGATCACATACACTACACTCACCCCCCCTTTAGGTGACAGTATATCCAAATCTCATCCTATGATCACATACGCTACAATCACATGCGCTACACTCACCCCCCTTCAAGTGACAGTATATCCAAATCTCATCCCATGATCATATACGCTACACTCACCCCCGTTACACTCACCCCCCCAGGTGACAATATATCCAAATCTCATCCCATAATCACATACGCTACAATCACCCCTGCTACAATCACCCCCCCTTCTCGGAACCAGCACTTCCATTTCCGCACTCAATCTACCAATCCTTCCATTGTGTAGATTAGCTATTCCATATGAGGCAATTAGTCATCCACCCGTACCGCAGTCCCACGGTGGATACCTTCGTCACCCCCGCTACACTCACCCCCCCTTCAGATGACAATATATCCAAGTCTCATCCCATGATCACATACGCTACACTCACCCCCCCCTTCTGGGAACCAGCACCTCCATTTTCGCACTCAATCTACCAATCTTTCCATTGTGTAGATTAGCTATTCCATATGAGGCAACTAGTCATCCACCCGTACCGCAGTCCCACGGTGGATACCTTCGTCTGTGGATACTTCACACAAGAGGAAGGACGTACGTATGCATGTCCAATATGTACGATTTCAAATTTAGGGGTAGGAATATACTTTGCTCAAGGGTATATTATATTTTTAAATAGTCACTAATCAATGGGATTCGAACCCGTGCCATTTGCTCTGATACCAATTGTAGCACACTTTATTTCTCTTATCTTAAGCCAACTGGAAAAGGGGCAATTGTTTGATGAGAGAGCCCTTAGTGGCTATTTTATCCTTATTTATCCCCCAAGGTTCCAAGGATCCACGGTGACAGTATATCCAAATCTTATCCCATGATCACATGTGCTACAAAAAGGATAAAGTGGAAGGCAATTGTTTTTGTTGTCAAAAGGTTGGACATCAAGGTAAGGATTGTCCTCTTATGAAGGAATCCAAGAATGCTAAGGTGAATGTAGTGAAATCCATCATAAATACAACTTAAGCATTCACTGAAATGGTTTTTCCATATCTTGTGGCGAAAGTTCAAGAACTTAAATCTTGAGTTTATTGTAAGCAACCAAAGGGGACGACTCGAGAAACGATCCATAAGGGTTCAAATATGAGGGAAAGAGCCTATGAATAAGAGTGCACCCCCTTTTCCAATCGGTTAAGAGTTTTAGGATACTTGGGGTTAAGCGTCCTTGGGTTTAAATAATACTGGGCTGGGTGACCTTCCAGGAAGTCTAAACTCAAGAGCTTATATTTGGTATTAGAGGATTCTTGGGTCTGACTTTGTTGGTTGGCTAGGGGAATCATACCACATGTTGATTGACATCTGTCTGGTCCAATTTGCTCCCGCTGGGCTCAGGTCGACGGGGCTCTCGGGAGAGCTACGAATACCACATGTTGATTGACATCTGTCTGGTCCAATTTGCTCCCGCTGGGCTCAGGTCGACGGGGCTCTCGGGAGAGCTACGAATACCACATGTTGATTGACATCTGTCTGGTCCAATTTGCTCCCGCTGGGCTCAGGTCGACGGGGCTCTCGGGAGAGCTACGGCTCTCAGCTTCCGTTCACGAGGGTGTGAACTTGCAGGGAAGCGTGGTGGATTGTAAGCAACCAAAAGGAACGATTTGAGAAACGATCCATAGGGGTTCAAATATGAGGGAAAGAGCCCATGAATAAGAGTGCAACCCTTTTTTCAATTGGTTAAGGGTCTTGGGATACTTGGGGTTAAGCGTCCTTGGGTTTGAATAGTACTGGGTTGGGTGACCTCCCAGGAAGTCCAAACTCAGGAGCTTACATTCATATCAACTCTATAAAGTTTAATGGTTCTATGTGTAATCAACTTGTGAAGACTAAAGTGGACATTCAAGGTAGTGCAATTAGTATTCTTTCAAAGGGGATATTCAAAGTAGTGCAATTAGTATTCTTTTCAATCTAAGTGTTATATATAACTTTTTGAGTTCTAAGGTGGTGAAAAAACTTGGTTTGCCTATGGAAAAGAGCTCAATAATCTATGAGGTGGTTATAGCATATGGATGTAACACTCATATTTACAATGAATGAGCTCTAAATGTTATTTTGACTATTCAAGGGATTTTTGACCATCCTTTATTCCAGTTTATGTGTTTTGGTCACATAGATGTTATTCTTAGGAAGGAATGGTTTTATAACATGAAGTTAGGGATCGATTGGGAGTATAATATTCTACATATTGAAGTTGGTGGCATTGTGAAACAGATTTTCGAGACAGACAATAGTGATACTCCATTGATTAATGCTTTAGAATTGGTGACATGCACGCATAAGATAACTAACTCTTTTGTGTTGTACCTGTTTCTTTCTAATATAATCATGTTTGA